AGTACTACATTAAGCGAGTCCATGGGGGGTTCGTGAAGGGGTAGACCAATCACAATATCGCTCCTGACTGATGTGACTCTTGGGCGGAAGTAAAACACAGGTTTCCTGGTCCATGGTCCAGCCAACCAGAGCACCTCTGTTCCTCCCCACAGTTTCTGTATTAGATTGTTGTTTTCCCATTTTGTGAGATTATCCGCGATTATAGATACTTATTCTTTCTTTTTTATTATTATAAAAGGAGCAACATTTATTTATTTTATTTGTAGTACTTTACCCAGAAGTCTCCTGAAATCTGCTCGTGTGCTGCTGCTGCTGCTGGGTGGATTGTTACATCGCAGAATCGTGAGAGGTGGCGACGACTTATCGAGGCCTTCATCCAGCAGTAGATTATCACTGCTGCCGCTGATGATGACGGTGACCGAGCAGTCTAAATAGGTAGGCTTAGGGTGCGATGAGTTTTCAAATAAAACCTCCAAAATGAAAAGGGAAAGCCACTGCAACGGGGGGGTCTCCATTATTCATTGGAAGGATGAATTGAAAAGAAGGAATATATCAAGGGTGAAATAAAAGTAGGACAATGAAGCAGAGAGATTGTGGGAGGGGGGGGGGTTGGAAATAGGGCAGATTTATAGGAAAGACAGAAAGTAAGAAAGGAAGCTTGAGCTGACTGGTTTAGCCCCAGTTTGATGATTAATGACTATGGTGAGTGAGTGTTCCTGAATGAGGCGCATCACACAGCCTCCCCCCCTCTTCCCCACCACCTCCGGTCAATATCTTCACCTTGACACCAAAAAACTTCCCGATTCGTCCATCCCCTTCCTCCCCAGCTGGCGGAATACATGAGTAAAATCGTCTCAACCCCATGCGTCAATTTGTTCAAAAACGTATTGAATGTCCCTCCCGCTGTCAGACACAGGATTCAGGGCACCGCGGTCTTGTTAGTAAGACCCGGGATAAAGAAACCGCTTTCATGCCTTATAATCTATATTTTAAAGAGTTTCTCGAAGCTTAGCACGTGGAATTGTTACGGCTTTTAGCGGCAATGAATGATTTACGCGCCGATGTTGGTGCCTGCGGTTTTTGTTTGTTTTGTCGCCGGTCATCTCGAGCACGTGAAAGTGACGTCACAAGCAACGCGAGCCGGGGTTAACGACAGTTCCAAAGAGTGTCCCCCTGTCACGCAGCAGGCGGGCGGGCGGGCCGTGGGACTGGCCTTGCATCTTACCCTCGCAACCAAACACGTCACCGCTGGCGACGAGCGATCTCCGTTCATCCTTAACTGTGTTGCGTAACGGTCCACCTTAGGTGGCGAGCAAAACGGTGCGTTGACCAAATGCGGCGGCGTTGACGCTGTTCGGGTATCTCAATTGTTCGATGACCTCGCGCCAATGCAATTTGTCCCAATTGATTTAATTTCAAAAGTACAAATTTCACAAATGACCTAAATATTTAATTCCTCCTCCCGCCCTGCTGCTTTACGTAAGTTCACACCGAGACCTACGATATATCAGGTGTGAATGAACGGAAAAAAATATAAAATAAAATGTCTCGCTAACAAGCTGAGCGTTACTGAGGACACCGTTCCCAATTTACCCCCCGCGGTCACTCTGGCTATGGAGCCCAGTGGGAGACACATGGCGGGTGGCGCTGGTTTTCATTGTGCTTGATTTGATTAGCGTCCCTGGACCTGCACGGCCCGACTCAGCGAGGTGTATTTGTAAGATGCATCCTCGCCAAAGCAGGATCGCACGAATTTAATGATTTTAACCCCTTAGTGGCTCACGGCTGAAATGTATTCCCTCCCCCCCCACCTGCCCACCAACCCCCACATACAAGCCAACCACCCACAATCAACTGCAAGCCGGGAAGATGACATCCCTAGGTATGATTGCGCTTTGCAAGCTGTCCCATGCTCTTGGGAAGACCGAGCGAGTGCTTTTCGTCGACTGCGTTGGCCAGGGCATTGAGACAGGGTGAGCGGCGGTGGTGGTGGTGGTGGTGGTGTTTGTGGTGTATGTGTATGTGCGCAGCGTAAGGAATAAATACGAATGCTTTATACCCGCCAGATATAATTATATCATCTCCGAGCCACTCATGAATATCAGGAGCGCCGTGCATGTGAGCGCACTTTAAGGATATATTGTAGCTCCCTGACAATTCATTTCGCATTCTGAAGAATTTATTATCGTCGGGTTCTTTTTTATTCCCTCCCTCTATCTCTCTCTCTCTCTCAACAAGTTCGGCGGCACGCTTGTGCCACAAACGCTTCAACACGTGATTTGACGGCAACACGATCTGTCAAGAACGGGGGCAGAGTGAATAACGCGCCGCGGAGATCAAACGGCGAATGATTCACGCGCACTTGTCTCATCGCGGCAAGTGATGTCGCGATATTTCTAAGGAGGGCCTCTGAGCCTCCGCGTCGCCAAAGCACAACAACGCTCGCCCTGGCAGCCGTGTGCTGTAACCCGGCAACCAAGCCGCCGGGTCACATGACTTGAGAAGCGGGATTATTCTCTCGCGGCTGCACCACCGCCGCGGACAGAGCCACCGGTATGGTTTCATTATTTCATTTCTCATCCGCCACGTACTGTCCGGGGGGGCCTCGTCGGGATGGATCCCGCGGGGCGCGCCGAGCAGCCCGCGCCGATCGTCTCGCGCCAACGCGCCGGGCTCGACGTGCGCTTCGCGTCGCGCCGTGACCTTCACCCTGACCTGTTGACCTTCCAGACCTAATCTCTGCTAGGGACTCTTTGCCCTCCACCATCCACTGCCCCCCCCCCCCCAAACCCCTCCCAGCCCACAGCCAGCGCAACCAGTTTGCCCCCCCCCCCTCCCACCACCCCTCTCTGCCGCCCGCCCATGGCAAATTCTGGGCAAAAACCTGACCCCTTCTATTCTTCGGGTAACTCGAAGACGAAACTCACAGAGGCAATGTTACGCTTTACACAACCCCACGCGCTTCACAAAGAGCAGCATTATAAATGTTGTACACAAAAGGTGGCCTTCTCTCGGAAGCGAGCAACGAGAAGAAAGGTACGCCCGTGTATCGGATCGTGTGTTGTGTGCAAGCGGCTAACGAGAAAATAAAACTGTTAACGCTTTTTGAAGAGCAAAAACCAATGAGCCTTTTACACATTTGTTACCAAACTATCAACCCCTCTGCCACGCAAACAAGCCTTTGCTTAACGGAAGCACCGTGCGGGGCAATTGCATGGTCATATCATCCAGGCACGCTGCGTTTACCGTGCTCGCGATTGCGAGACCTCAATTTGTTTCTGCGGGAACACCAGTTAAGTAGCGGGGCAGCGGACCCCACCGCGTGCATTCGTGGATACCCCCCCCCCTCCCCCCCCCCCCCAAAGCTAATGACGCCAAAATTACAGTAATTATCTGCGCCACCGGAAAGCCTCCCTCCCACCATTCGCAGCTTCTCCAAACCCCGGGCAGTGGGGCCACGGAGTGAACCCCGGCTTGTTTGTTTGGATTGAGATTTTACAAATGTGCCCGCGCCAGTGACTTTGAACTCGTGGGCGATCCGGCTTTGATAGCGATCGGCTCATCTAACATTCCCTTTGATAGCCATCGGCTGTCAGTGGCGGCACGCACGTGAGAGAGAGAGGGAGAGCGCGCTCGCTCGCACGTTCGCAGATAATGGGGCCCGGGGCTCGGGGCTGGCAGCGCGATCCGCTCGGCACACCCCTCCCACCAGGTCTGTGCTCAGGTGCTGACGACTCGACGCTCGCTTAGCTGCCAAAAAATGCGCCGGGCTCCGCTGCATGATTTCCCTCTTGGTGTTGTTTGTTGTCGTTGATGTTCTTTTCTAATTTTAGAATTATGTACGGCTCAGACGCCGATGGCACACAATGGAATATACACTTGAATTGTCACAGGCTTCCATAAACGAGACCACTTCGCCGCCCAATATTCCATTCCCTCCGATGGTTCCCTAACGAATCTGGGATGAAGTTCAAGATCGCGCTCGCTGTTTTCAAGAACCTCCCGGGATTCGTGTCTTGTCTGCCCCGTCCCTCTCATCTCACTCTACTCCCCGCTACGCACTCTCCACTCGAGTAACCCAGGCTTTGTATCGAAGCCCCCAGTCAACATTTGCTCAGTGGGATGTTGGTCACTCCTCTCCTGCTCCCACAGTTTAGAACTCTCTTCCCCCAGCCACCTGTGCTGTTCGCTCCATGACTCTGCTCAAGACTTCCCTTCCTTTTTCGTCTGCCCGCGACTCGCTCTTTTTTTTTACAATAAACGTGCGTAATGATCTGCATGGTGTCTTGAGATGTTGTCACAATTCCGATGCCGTATGAATCACTATTGTATTCTATTGCAATGTCAGTCCACGGCTCGTATCAAAGATCGCACAGGTTTTGAAAAAAGCACGTTACCTAATATCCTTGAAAGCCTCTAAGGATTGCCGCGTATGAATTCTACACACACCCACGCTTACGTAATGTATGTAGATATGCGTATAAGTGAGGGTAAGCAGGTCATTGTCTGTATAAATGTTTGAGCATCGCTCATTCCAATATATTGCAGTGTTGGGGACAGGTATCATGAGAACGGCTCGGTTTAGCCGACAGAGCTGTGGGCATTGGCAACAAAGCCTAGGGACCCCCTGTGCGGGCACGTGTGCTTGCGGAGCGATGGTGCATCGGTTAGCGCTCTGCGCTACAAACCTAGCGACCCGAGTACGATTCACCGCTCACGGCCAATAATGGGAGTGAACGTCTGAACCGATCCTGGGCCTCCTCTAAAGCAACTCAGTACCTGGGGCGATGTGTAGACATCAGCATTGTGGAGGCGAAGGTGGCCGGAACGTGGTGTATTGGCCACACCGCGCCCACCCTTCCCCCGTGTGACGTTCCGGTCTTAATAGCTGCTCGCTAACAGCACTTGCTCCAACATTCTTTTGACGGCTATACGGGGGGGGGGGGCGGCTCTTCGTGTCTGTCGTGCACACGGAGCGCGCGTCTCAGCAGCCCCCTTACCGGTGTAGACGAAGCGTCCCGGTGCTCCCTTGCAGAACTGCTTGGACTTGTAGGAGAGGGTGACCTCCACCACTCCGGGGATGTGGCGGGGAGGTGTCTGCACCCTGATGGCATGGGGTGTGATCAGCTGCGGGCGGAGGATAGTGGGGAGGGAGGGACGATGGGGGGGCAGGGGGGTATCGGAGAGGGGAGGCGTTGTGGGGTGTTAGGTAACGCAGAGATAAAACAGCGCATTGCATTATTTCTCGTCTTGTCTGTCTACCAACGCCCTTACGGCCTCTCCTTCCGCCACGCTGTCGCGGCTCGCAATCGCGCTCGGGGGATCGAGCGAGCTGCCCTCGACGAGCGACGCCGAGTCTCGTGCTGTGCACAGCTCTTTGGCGAGGGAGGGACGAACTGAACGCTGGCGGCCGAAGGGATTTCGCGAACGCTTCCCGTCCGGCGTTCATGCGGCGGTGGTGTCTCTTGAGTGAAGTTTCAGAATTGGAATTCCGAATCTTTGTTTCGACTGGCGGAATGCGGCGAGCTGTATGAATCTCTTTTTCACAGACGTCCAGTACGTTACTAACACAGTCAGAGACCGCTACTCTCACAAACGAGGCTATGGTTTTACTATTATTATTTAACGATAAATTATTATAATAATTATCATCAGCCATGATCAGTCCACTGCTGGATCAGTCCACTCAAAGCCACGGTTCCGTTTTGTAACATCCACCCAGCCACCTGCGCTGCAGCCGATTTCATCGCTCCATCTCCACGGTGGCCTGCCCATACTATTATCAGTAAGCGGCAATGTCACTTACCATCTTCGGTTGAGATACTCGGCCAAAATGGGACAATCATTTATCTCGCGTTTTTTTTTTGTGTGTGTGAGCGCATATACCTGGGGGTGCCGGATTCAGGCGTGCACGCGCACAGTCAGTGGCATTTGTTGCTTTTCCAGTCAGCCGCTGTGACGACTTCTCCGAAAGGAAAAAAAAGAGGGGCGAGGTGACCCTTGACCTCTTGGATTTGGCTGTCTGCACACGACTGCCCCCCCCCCCCCGAGTCGTCCCCCCCCCCCCCGCGTCTCCCTCTCTCCACCCAGTGCCACGTTGTTGTGGCCGGGGAAGAGAGGGGGGGTGGGTGGATGGGGAGCATTCGAATTTGGAAGTTTTGGTGTCAAGGTGACGGTATTGACCGTGGGCCGCGGTGATACGCGAAATGCGGATGGAGGACGTCTGCCCGTTGCCTCGCACGGCCGGCCGCTCGCTCAGTCATCATCAATCACCGCGCTTCGGCCGCGACGCTAGGCCAGAGCAGAGCCACCCCCCCCCCACCCACCCCTCACCAACCCCCACCAAGGCATTCACCCACGCCAACGCCGCACCCCCGTCGTCTCCAAACCTAACCCCTCTCGCCTATTTCCAGCGCTCGCCAACACCCTTAAGGTGGCGATGGATTTGCAGTGGTCGTATCGGGCTGCGACGCATCTATCAAATAAACGCGTCGAGATCAATTTGATGATTAAATAGAAGGAGAACGGAGACGAACTTGCGCTAGCTCTCCGTGCCTGGGCAGAACGAGTTTAACGATGCTTCGATTTGGCAGTTAAAATTGATTCCTAAGGTCGCAATACATGCATCCAAATTGTCTGTGAGCATTTTTTTTTATTCTTAGGGTATACACGTTATGTAATTGGTTCACGTGAACCCTGCGGTTCCATTGACTCCAATACGACGTACAGGACATGATTGAGGAACCGAGGGGAAAGAAGAGGGAATGTGCCCGAGTGGACGTCAACCAGGGAGATGGAGTGATCAGATCAGCTCATGGGCAGGAGATTGCAAAACCGTGACGGATGGTGACACCATGTGGAGGCCTACATCCAGTAAAATTGATCATGGCTATTGATGATGTTCATTATAATGACGATGAGCCATGCAGCTTCGATATTCACCAAAGTATAAAAACAAATATATGCATTCTCCACTCTAAACGCGATCCCGAAACGTGCCAATGGAATCACAGTGTGGCAGAAATGTAACGTGATTGTCTGACGGCGGCGTGTCAGCTGAACTCCGTAAGCCCGGGGCTATTGTACCTCACTCCACACGAGCATGGTTCCGAAGACGACCTGCAGCCCGTCGAAAAAGTTGTCACCGATGATGATGACTGTGGCACCCCCGGTTGTCCATCCTTCACTGGGGCTGATAGCTTTGATGCACGGCGTAGCTGCTTGCACAGAGAGAGCGAGGGAGCGTTGTAAGCATGTTGGCAAAGTATTTGTTTATTTACCTCCACCTAATATTCACACCTTGTCGCAGATAAAAAAAACGTGGCCCAGTTCTGTCAATAGTTTTCCTGGGATTATCAACAACCGTGAAACTGGACACATTTAAATTGCTGTCACTGCGGTTGACTGATCATTTGATGAACATCTGACAGGATTCAAATACATTTAAAACAATCTAATTATTACTGTTTTTCATAATTGAGTATACCTTTAAAAAAGACGTGTTCATCCGTGACAATCTCACGGTAGATTAAATGTACACATTAATCACCGCCTGGCTTCTTGGGTTAGATTCCGGCGTGCCTACCAACCTATGTGATGGCCTCAGCAGATACAGAGTGGTTTGTGATATGATTGGCAAAAAAACTAACTCTCTCCCTCCAATCTCTCAGAAAAAGAGTTTAATGTGTCACGCATTAGAGAACCAACAGTGACGAAATAGCTCAACGGTGAAGCCATCGAACATTTATGGTATTGGGCTTTCCAGTGTGTTTTTTCAGGCCACGCTGCGTATCGTTCGCAGCGAAGTCCGACGTTTCGCTCCACGTGCTGAGAGCTTCTTCATCTGCATAGGAAAACCTGCACTAAACCTACCTCGTATAATTTTCTCCTACATATGTTTATATATATGTTTATATGTCTTGTGACCCTCCCCCGCCCCGTAAAAAAATGTTTTCAAACAGAGCATTTTCAGGAAGGAATGCCCACCAAAAGGCAACTGTTGGAGACCGCCCGTACAATGATTTACTTTGTTCTGATGTGAAGGGGGTGGGTTAAAGAATTGTTCCCTACTGTTGACATAAGTGCAGGAGTCCTTTTTAAGTCTTCTGTTTTTTTGTTTTGTCGAAGGGAACTCCACCCTCCCTGTTACAATAACACAACACGCTTCCTGTGCGCGGACGGACAATGATGGAAACAGTCACACGCACCGGGCACGCACGTGTTGGAATGCGCGCAAGTCAAAATCCGCCCAGAGGGGGCAGAACGTAGGTGCCGTGCGAGCGAGCAATGCAAGGACGCATTCAAAACGGCTTCGAAATGCAATGCAGCGCATGGTGGAGGTGCATGTACGCGTCTCAAAGAATAACCGTATAATTATTATTTATATTTTATTATTTCAGGAATTGAAAGGGCACATCAAACGCAAACTTTAGATGTATATATATATCCCCCCCCCCCCCCCCCCCCCCAGTTATGCCCTTGACGTTAAGTCATTAAATGAAGCGCCACTTCTGGACGATGAGGGAGCCGGGCAGAAAATGGCCTGCAGAAGTGGCTATTGGAGAGCTACATCTGAGATGGCCACAAGTGACTTCTAATATCGACACTAGGGGCGCTGCGCATTTTCGAATGTCCTGCTACAGGGCAACGTTCAACACTTGGCAGTGGAAGTTTTACTTCTCAAAGCTGGAAAATTATCATGTCTAAGTGGAAAAAAACAATTTAGATGATAGTCAACATATAAATGTTGCGAGAGATGCAGAGAAGATATATGAGCTTGTTACGTTGCTTAAAAAAAACACAAATCTCAACACATCGGCAATCACGCAGTGGTCTTCAAATGACAAATGTATGATAGGTGACGTTTCGAGCAATAGCCCTTCTTCAGAGCACGTAAATGGTTTATCAATGTTTTACGTGCCATAAAGACGGGCCATTGCCCAATTTAGTTGCCTATTCTACTAATATATGTTTCCTTTTAAGCCAGCGTTGTTGGCGAACGCTTCGAGTCTTAACGTCAATTGTGTTTGTGCACTCTTCCGTCATGTTTATGAGCTTGTGCATATTAGGATTCGAGTTTGAGCTGATACTCGATCTACCCATATATATTTTATTCGATGATTCAGGCCCCCCCCCCCTTGAGCAACTTGAGGCCTTAAGCCTTTTCTTTGGCTTCTTCTGCCTAGCAGCGGCACCACTGTGCACGAATGCTGCATTTGACCGGAGAATACAGTTCAGTTGAAAGGGCTTAACAGACAAGCACAAGGCTCTTACTGCTTGATCGCGGACACATTGACACAAATGCTGTACGCTATACATGATGCACTGCAGCAATTTGACAGAGTGCGTATATAATCATCCAACATTGAGTCTTGAGACAACTGGAAAATGAGTGATTTTATTTTTTTCTCAAAACTGTTTGTGAAAATATATTAAAGATATATATTTAAAAAAAAATGTAATTATACAGGATAAATATCTTGGCCTAATTATAATATAGCTGTAATGTTTATATTGATGTCGAGAAAACTGTTTTCATTGATCAAATAAAATCCTTATTGATGTTGATGCGTGCCATAATGACAACTCTTGTCATTAACTCCTTGAAAATTAAAGGCAATTGAATAAAATTACGAACGCAGACTACAAATAGGTTTGCATGCAAACCCTTTATTTGTCCTAACAATGCGCATGTGGTACAAATGTACACATGGATGAGATCCTCATTGATTTAAATTCCACAAATGGACAAACGGTAATTGATGCGCGCATTCTAACCGATGGCAATCACATGGACAATTGCCTTCTACTTAACCAGTAAGAGTTCATAACAAAGTGGAGAGTTCAATAGGACGTTCTTCCCACCAGAGGAGGAGTGGGGTGGAGGGCGGCTATATGGTGGTCGTGTTGCTGTGCAGTGCTTAATGATTAATACAGCAATACCCCGGTTAACGTTGGGGATGCGTTCCTGAACGCTGGGACAACGAATATCGAAACGAGTGTTTTTTTTCTTCCCCCAAATAACCAATATATCGTACGCAAATAATCGAATGTATTCGACAGTACCGTACAATTGTTTACGCGCGATGCAAAGTCATTCGTGATTAGGGTAAGTGGGCCTTAACTGGTAAAACATTTTTTTAGTTTATTTGTGGAGGCAAAGGCCGAGGCGACGGATACGAGAACGGATGGATGATGCTTTCAGCGACGCAAGTGTGGGTTGAGGCGACGCAACTCAGGCAGCGGTTAGACACTCATTAATCTGGGCATCGCTGTACAAGAGAAGGCGTCACGAAGTGGGGGCGGGGGTGGGGATGGCTGAGTGTGGAGATAGAGAAGCCATCCGCACGCAGGAACAACGCGCTGCAGAGCATAACACACCTTCCGAGGGGTCGAGTCTCCGGGCACGCCGCCCGTGCTTGGAGTTGTTGTGCACGAACATGTTGTCTGACACCGCGAGCACGTGGCCGTCCACGTTGACGGTCGTGGAGATGACGACCTGGTGGCAGGCGGGGGCGGAGGTTGTTACCGTGGATGGGGGGGGGAGGGGGGTGACACACACACTCAACACGAGTCAATTCGTGTTGAATGTGTGTCTCGGTGAATGCATAATGTGTGGGCATGTTAAAGGTAAGTGTCGCAGTGTTACTGGGCTTCCGTGTATCGTACGAAAATAAGGACATTTTGTACAGACCGTTAATGTTTCATATTGACGGGACTTACCCTTCTGAGTACCTTTTGTAAGTGTGTGTTATTTTTTTTAACTGCGGTGTGTATGTGTGTTGGGCAGTGGTTCGCACACTGCACAAGGAACCCAGTAACCTGATTTTTAATCCCCGAACACAGCTGACATCAGTAGCGAGCGAACCTGTCCTGGACCTCTCCCCAGTCGACTCAGTAATTAATGAGAAACTGGCGTGGTGTGTAAATTTCAGCATTGGGTGCACAAATAAAGGGTGGTATGATTCTGACCACACCAAACCCTTCATGTGACACGATCACCTTAATAGGTGCTCGCTCACAAAACTTGCAAACCCCAAACCGTTTATTACGTTACATGGGGGGCATCGTTGTGCACGTGTGTGTGTGTGTGCATGTTGGGAGCAAAAGACCCGCTGACTTGCACACTGCTTCAATATCCCCCAGCAATCTGGGTTCAAGGCCTGGTCACACACAAAACCATTGGCATTTGGTATATGACCCTGGTGTGGGTCTTAGGTCAAGTCTGTCTCAAATGAATACCTGGTGATGTAGTTGTATCGACGTCAGCAATAGGGAAACAAAGGCGAGAGGTGATGTGCTGGGCACATCACTCCCCCGTGTGTCATACAGGCTTTGATGGGGCCTCGCTAACAGCACTTGCACGTGCGTGTGTATGTGTGCGTGTCTTTGGCGAGCAGCAGTAGCAGTGTGGTTAGCACGTTATATGTTTGTTGAACTTCTTTCGCACCGTACGTAGCCAACCGTGCTACTCGGATGTGCAGGGGAAGGACGACAAACTAAACACAGAAAGCAATTCTAAAGAAATTGGTTTTAAACTTGAATTTAAACGTGCATAGCTCCAGTGGCTTCCTAATATCGGAATGAAGAGCGTTCCAGACGGCCGCAGAAGAAGCGCATCTGAAAACGACCTGGGTTCAATTGCAAGCCATGGATAACAGCAGTGCAACGTGGTATTGACTTGTTCTAGGACTCCCCTACGCCTTAAATGAGTACTCGGTGGTCGGGTGTGATGTCGAGCACACCGCCAGCTCATGCTCCGGTCCAGCCTGAGTCGGCGCTCGCTAGCGGCGCTACTTCCCAGGCAATCAACAAGGCTGTGTGTTGTAAAACTGATGAAGGCTTTCGCGCTGAAGAGTGAAGCTGAAGTGCTCTTGCCAAATAGCAATTTTTTTGACAGCCCGGCACTATTTGTTCTAACAAATCAGCCTGACTGCTGATGAGACCCAGAATTTCGAAACCGGCCCCAAAGTTTGCTCTCTTAAACAAATGCTGCCTGGATAATATTGGTATGAGAGGCAAGAAGGTGAAAAAAAAACCGGTTCCGAGTTTGCTCGCCCTAAACAAATACCCGCCGGATAGCATCGGAGAGGGAGGAAACGGGCACATTGGCCGATGGACCGAAATCAAAATGGCAAAAAAAAATTGATCTTGGAGTAGACGAATGGAATTTTGTTTTTTTGTTGATTTGGCGTTGCCGCGCGGATACCGCAAAATGAGCTCGCCGCGTGCCCTGCCCCGTTGAAGACTATACGAAGACACGTGCACAGACACATCTTACTCATAATCATCGCCTTTGTGACGAGGCCACGACGTTTAATCCACGTTTCTTGCGGAATGGCGGTTGCACGCCCGCTTGCTCGCTCGCTCCTCGGTCTCTCTCTCTCTCAGCGAGCTGATTAAACCCTCATTATCTGGTGGCGGCACTCGCCCGCTAAGCCCGCCCCGCTCTTCTGCGCTGATTGATCTAGCGATAGGTCGAGCGGCTAATTAACTTAATTAAAGCGGGGCCCGGCTTGAGGACGACGCCGCAAAGGCGACAGGGCGACATTTTTCGCAGCTTTAATATGGACTTTAATGGGAACTAATTGCTCTTGCTTCAAGTCTGGTATCCTTGCGTGTAATGGGTCTGTTTGAAGGTGTGCGTGAGTGTGTGTGGGTGCTGTGTTTTGATTTTCTGGCTGTCGTATTTTTTGTACAAGGCTGTTAAACAACAACAACAAAAAAATACCGCGCTCTTGGCTGCCCTCGGAAAATGTTTGTTGTTTGCCCCATTCGCGCGTAATAATTTATATTAGCGCGCAGCTTCTTTATCAATTTGTCTTCGCTGCGGCGCATGATACTCATATTACGTGTTGCCACATATTCGCAGAGCCCCGGCAATAGATACTATCTATTATTGTAATAACATTGTAATGACAACACCTGCAGAGAGGCCGTGCGGTAGTTAGCACATTGCGCCGGGAACCCGGCGCAGCTGAGTTGGATACCCTACCACGGTTGGCACCGGCGGATCCGACCATGCTTCATCACGTTGGTCATAAAGGGTTGTTGTTAAAGGCTGGTGCCCAGAACTGGTTCAAATATCACTCACCACTGATGTTAGCCGTGGCCAGCAATCAAACGCGGATCACGGAATTCACAGTGCGGTTCCCTAACCCCCCGCGCCACCACTTGGCCCCTCACCACAGTCTGCGTATCGCATCAATTGAGCCTGAACCTGAATCCTCTCTGTGTCCACGTGCGTAACTTCGTGTCCCGTGGCTGTACTGGGCGCCAGCTGCCCTCAATGTTCGGAAGCGACTGCGAGCGACGCAACTTGAAAACTCGTTTCTTTCTAACCACTTTTTTTTTCATCTTCAGTCTGTTGTCCTTCCCCACGCGCACGCACGCACGCACGCGCACAGCGACACAAGCGGCGTTCAATCCGTAGCTCTGGGGGCCCCGCGGGCAGCATCGCGATGGAGCGCCCCACCCGTGGAGCTGATGCGCGTGATTGTTTCGCTCCGTGCACACGGCATGAATTGCGGCCTCCTCGCCGTCGTTGCACTGTCTCTTGTTACGTGTGGCTGTTGGCAGGGGTGTTGGCTCTGGCACCGATAGCGCTGTCGGTCGCAATCAATGATGCGATTTTTTTTTTTTGCCGCTATCGATGTGTGTTGTTGCTGGTGCCAAACGGTTGGCGTCGCTGGCGGTGGCCGCCGCTCGTGTGCGTCGGGGGTTGCCATTCGCGCGCTCCGATCATTCACCCTTACCTGGAACCGCCTCATGTCTCGTGGGTTCCCGGCGTTTTTCAAACAGTTCTGATTGCACTTGAGGAAGAACTTGAGAAAAAACCTGAAGCGTACGAGAAGCAAAAAAAAAACACACACGAAAAAGAAACAAGTGTTATTTTTTTTTTTAGCACTTTGCCAGAATCACGTCCAGAATACAAGCAACACGTTGCCTCCATTGCAAGGTTTATGCTGAAAACATTTAAGTATTTCATAGCTAGAAGGCCCCAGCCCGTGCTGTTTGAAAGCAACCTACGTGCATACTTTCAGCCTCACTAGCAGTCCTTAACCCAATCCTCGTATAGCCGGAAGAGACACCACAATAACAAAATATGATCCCACTCTAACCTGGGTGCTAATAGGAAAACTTAAATGTACCCAGACTGGAGCCTCCAACTCCCCGTAGCACATTGAGTTTCTGCATCCCTTCACCTTTCCCCGAGGCAGACCAACTTATTTCTATTTTTTTTTAAAGCTGTAAATTTCAGACAAGACCATTCTGATTTTACGAGTTGAACTCTGATGACTTTCTGAGTCCGCAACCACTTCCTGTTTTCCAACATTCCTCAGTAACATTAAAACAACAACAACAGCAACAAACATCAAACAACAGAGAACAAAACTTCCGGCAGAGCCTCCCGTCTGCAGAAGCCGTACATTTTTTCGTTTTAAATCCGTCGGCGGCGGGTTTTGCACGTCGCTTATTCGCCCAAAAAAAATCGTTCCCCTCCCCACCGATTTCTGGCATCCGCTAATGCACTTATTTCTGTAGAGCACACATCCCAGCCACTGCCTCCTGAGAGCTGAGATCTAAAATTACGGAGCGGGGTGGGGGGGGGGTGTTTGGGGAGGGGGGGGGGTGAGAGCGGCCAACCATTAAAAAAAATTAGCTCATGACTTTGTTAGCCAAGCTGCGACTTTGCCACGGGGGGATTCGCTTGTTTAACCCCCGACACCTGTGAGTTATCGAGAAAGCGAGGACAGATCGCCGGCCACTAATGGACATTCCTATTTTTGCTATTTTCGGGAGCCCGAGCGCCCGTGTGGTTTTCTCTCTCTCTCTTCTTCCTCCTCCTTCTGCACGTCACGACGACGGAGAATCTTTGGTGGCGTCAAGATGCCTCGAGTCGCCTTTTTGGCTACGTTGCAACGGTTCCGTGGTGGGGTAGCATGGCGTCGGCTCCGTTCTTCCGCCTTGCCAACAGCGGAGCAGTAACTCGCCATGTTCGCCACGAACACTGCCTTCGGACAGAACCGTGTAGCAGTAGTAGTAGCAGCACGTGGGTTCATGGGACTGTCCATCGTACTTCTTGTGAGAAGAGAGGCTTACAATTTTAGAAGTGGACGAATGCTAATCAGCTCGACGTTTTCCTGCGCGAAGGGCGGTGTTAATTACCAACGTATTTATTTACGTATCTGTGGCTTGCGTATCGCTGCCCAATGTGGAGGCTTAATTAATTATTTACTGAATTGGCTTGGCTTATGCACAATTAGCCCCGCAGACTATCTCTGAATAGTTATTGGATCAAGTTCACTGCGTGCATAAAGGCGTCTGAACACTGGTCTGGCGGCAGCGAGGGGTGTTCACGGATAATCCGCTCAGACTGCCAGGAACTACGAATGCCAATCTCCAAATGTCCCATTAGCTCATTGTGGGGCGTAATTATTATTATAATAATCATCATCAGTAATATAGATTCACAATTCAGCGTTCTATGCAACAATCAATAATATTCCATATTAAAAACTAAGTAAAATAAATGTTTGAACCATCTGCTGAATTGCAGGAAAAGAATTAATTAAAAAAATGTTGTTCCAAACAGTGTGTGTGCGTATGTCTTGTGCGATTTATATATGGCTGGTGCATGAGTAAATTGCAACGTTTTGAGATGATCGTATTAGTGGGCGATGATATTTGTGTTCCTGGCCCTTTAAACATCATCCCAGGATGTGTGCACTGGGACTAGGCAGTGTGCACGTAATAAGAGAAGCCGGAATGACATTTACACATTTAGCTCTTCGTTAAGCGATCACAGGTGGCAGTTTAGCTTTGAAGGAACGGCGTGAAAAAAATCAGTTCCCTATAAATAAAACTCAATTCTCGTATTCCTGGTTAAGGTGATTTTGGAACGGTGGTGGAACGTGCGCTGTTTGTCCCAGATGTCTTCTGCTGCGGTTGCGTAGCAAAAGCTGTGGTGCGATGCGCCACTTTAATCGATAAGCCTGCGAAACAACTGGATTCGACGTGAGCGAAACCTTAGCCCCTTGCCTCACACGCTGCACTCTGAAATTGTGTTATTTGCATCAGAACCACACCAAGATTCACGGAGGGAGCAGCTCCAGGTGTCGGAAGCACCGTTCCCTCCCATACGCTGAAGCGCCGCGTGCGTCCTAGAGTTTATTTTTTACAACGATCATGAGCCTGCCCAAGGAGGCCACGCTGAACTGAGAGTGCAAAAATATTGTCTTAAATCGCACGATGTATTTAGATAGCGTGGCACAAGCTTTTAAATTATTTTATTTCTTTATCTCTCTCTCTCTCTCGCTTCTGTTGCAAACGATCACGATTCTGTGCGCCGCGCGGCGCGCGCGCTCGCGAGCACACAATAAAGGGTGAAAGATTGCCGTTTGAGTTTACATACGCGTCCAGGCATCGCGGCCTGAAGAGTGCACATTTAGCGATTGTTCTGCCTTCCCGAGGGCTCATAAATTGTGGCTCTCGGTGTCCGCCGTTTCCGCATTCCCTGCTCCCTCCGCATTGTGAGCTCCCGCGTGCGCGCATCTTCGCGGCTCCGCCCACGAGCAGATTGAAACACTCGCCCCTCGCGACTACAATCGCTATTGTCCGAGCCCGTCCCCCCACGGGCGGCCGTTTGGCCACCGTATAAATTTAGGCCCATTGAATGCGGGTGACAATAACGCTGACAGATGGAGGGCCCCCCCCACCGCCCCCCAGCGCCACCGCCGACGCATGCTGCTGCTGCGTCCGGCAGCAGGGACAGAGCCGTGCCGAGATTTCAATGGGAGGTGGCGGTTAGCGGGCAACGTGGAGAGGGTACGTGACGTGATGCTCGGTGTACTGCAACGATCATCGTCGCGATGATGATCGTCGTGATCATCGGCGTCATCGTCATTTACGATATCACGACGGTCGACAGCATCGTCAACAATCTCGTCGTCATCGATGGAAGAGTGATCACTTGCATCGTCGTCATTAATATCACCACGATTGTTATCATCATCATCATCAGTATCGTCGATCAATACATTTCCGTGACAAACTGGGTCGAGATTAAATCACGATATATCAACATTTCCCGTTTAGGACGGAGCACGTCCAACTGACAGGGCATGTCATCAGTCGTAAATAAAGATCCACCATACTTAGCTTACGTATGTAAAAGAAAACACACACACACATCTGTGATGTATGCGGTTACATGAGATACCTCAGTGGATTCTTCCTTGGCTATTTAAAGAATACAATCCGTCAATGATAAATGAAGTTGGTCAATATTTTTTTAGAATGGTTATTTAGAAAAATGTGAACTAAACTAGCACTAGCTTTATTTTGAAGCCTCTACAAATACAATATTCACGGCCCTTATGACAATTCACTTATGGATGCAGGCCTCTCTCTGCCATGTCAGTCAAATGACAATGATTCACCACACTGGTCAGCTAGGGTTGTTGAAGGCGGTCGACACAGGATCACTCGCCAACGGTGTTAGCCAGGGCTGGTGAATTTAACTGAGTTTGGTAGATTCATAGCAGAGTGTTCTAACCCCTTGCACCACTACCACCACCGCCCCACACCGTAGCCATAACAATAATAGCCATCGTACAATGAACATGAGCGCAAAGCAATCGACCGCTTCTGAAAGCGAAGAGCGCCGGGGTCTCCGCTCGCTCGTTTCACTGCCCCGTTGGCCAGACGCTTGAACTCGTCCTCGTGTACGCACCGCTGCTGTGCGCGCATGAGCGCATGCTTGCCCCGCGATGCTCCGCGCAAAACGCGCACGAATCGCCACGATCCTACACCGGTTTGCACTCACGGCGCTGCGCCGCCGCTTCCGCTCGCCCGTCCCCGTGTTCCCTCCGAAGAAATCTGTCTCCTCGCATCGCCGTACCGCGACCTGGCGTCGGCACGCGCGGTGCGCCCCTTCTCCCGAGGACAAAAAATCCGCTGTCCCTCCTCCCTCTCGTCTTAATTCCCTCCTCTTCGTCCCTGATAAAAGTTGCATGCGCTCTGACCACGCGCATTTATTATACATGGACGTAAAGGGGATGCAAATCGGGCAGAAGCGGCACGCGTCACGGGAGAGCGCACGACGCGAAACATCCACAGCCCCCCCCCGCCCCTTCTCCTGTCCCCCCCCCCCCCATGCCTCGCCCTTCAGAGCGGCACTGTCTCGTCGGCGAGCCGGCGAGGAGCGCCTCCTCGCTGGTGGCAGTGGTGGCAAAGCAAACAGCGGTGCAGTTGATGCCGCGCGGAGTTGTAGCCGCGGTGGGGGAGTGCGCTGCTCGGCTTTGGTAGCCCGTCAAGAGCGTTGGGAAACACGCGGAGTCAGATAATGGTTTGGTTTCCATCTATCGGGGTTTGACCGGGACAGCCCACTCGGGTGGCAGCAGGAATTGATCCGTACCGAGATCTCGCACCGGTGTTGTGTTGAACTTTATATATATGGGCTTAGTCTTTGGACAAGGTGACAGCCCCTCATTGGCAACGTTCACACGGTCCTCCCTGTTAAAAATGCTACCCTCATTGCGTCAACGATAACTCTGTGCGTGAGCGAGCCAATGCCAAACCTCTTCGGAGACCAAACGTTTTTTTAGCGACGTCCCGGTCAAATATTGCAAATCCTATTAGGCAGATGTCAGTCATTCCGCGTTTAACAAATCATTGATTACATTTAATGCGTAAGTTCGCGAGGCACCGCGAATAGTACGGCTTTATGCAATCATACGTCTATCCAATGGTCGTCTAGATTATTCGCCGTCTTTAATAACTGTACGTTTAATGTGAGGGACACTCGGCAGTAATTATGAATCATTTACAGCCGT